AAGTACTTGTAAGGCTAGGGTAAATTCTTAGACGCAAGAAATAATTCAATGTCCCAAATATAACCTTTTTTTAATATTTGGCTGAGGGTATATTGGACATGAACGGGGTCTATGAAATTTCGTGAGATCGGCATAGCAAAATGCATGCGCTAGCTAATGGCGGAAACCTTACGCCGCTATTGGCGCAAAAAAACAGTAACCGTTCCTTTCTACAATGGCTTACCTTGATAACTTGAATAGTGTAAGCATCACTTCAATCAAGTTTATTCAACTTCTTAAAAGATTGTTTTTGTTATAAACACGCCGCTTCGTTCCAACTTCCTAAAAATTACATCGCCATTTACAAACAATCAGACCGCAATCACGAGCGAGTCTATCAGGCCTACCTTGCAGCGCAAACAGATACCAACGAGAACGGCAGGGGCCTATTGTAAAGACCGCTCTGATTGGTCTGATTGTTTGAAATGGCGATGTAATTTAGGAAAGTTAAACGAAGCAGTGTATTATAAAAAACAATCTTTATAAGGAAGTGAATAACGAGATTGGAAGTGAATGTATAGCACATAGTGCAGTAGCAAAGGTTAAAGCCTATGTAGAAGGGAACGGTTATGTTTTTTTTCGCGCCATATACGGCGTACAGGCCGCATTAGCAGCGCATGCATTTTGCGATGCGATCTCACGAAATTTCAAGTTGAACTCCCGTCTGTCCCAATATAACTCCTCATCGACAAAATATAAAAAAGTATATGGGAGCAATAATTATTCGGTCTAGGGTAATCTTAGACCGTGACACCGGCACAGGCCGTACTGAGTATTGACATTCACTATGGACTGATTGGTAGACTTGTATTTGTAGTTTATATGTTATCATCGTACCTTTTTTTATTATGATTGTGTTACAGAAATGTCTGTTTCTATATAAGTAAACGCTTACCCAAACTTGCAGCCTCTCATAACATTGAACATGACGGGGGCTGCCATGTTTATGGAATAGTCGATTGTACTGGCACCTGGCGTTAGCCTTGGTAATTAGATTCGCACATCAGTCTGCTGGCGCAACACTAGATAAGGGCAGCCTGGGACCACGTACTGACCTCTATATATGAGTCGACTAGAAGATGTATTTCTATCTCTTTACCTCCTCCCCTCTTCCTGCGCCTTTTCTCTAGTCGCCCCTCTCTCTCTCGATATTTCTTACTCAGTGTCCCCCTCTCCCTGGTCTCTCCCTCCTACACTCTTCGGGGCACTCTCCCCGCGCCCTCTGTTTCTGTCTGGTAAAGACCCATTCTGTCGGTTAGATGAAATCTTCCCTGTCAGCTCTACCGATAGATAGCGGTAGTTAGCGTATGCGTTCCCTCTGTTTTTGTTTTACGCTACGCCTGCTACTTGTAAAGTAAAGCTCTACATATATAGTTGATAGACTAAACCGAGTGTTAGTTGGTAAAAGTTTGTAAAACACATGAGACCTACCTATATATGGTATACGTAGATCCTTGCTCACGTGATGCCCGCATACCATCTAGAAATGTACACGCACGGGATGATCCCTCCTTCAAATTGAATTCCGCGGCGAACTACTGAGAGATTTTGTGCTCAAATATAATTTTAACGCGTCCGCACTGCTGGATATTGCCAGAACCGCCTTCGCAAAGATAGGAAACCGCTAGAAGGTTTTCTTAGGATTACGAAGAAGTGATACGATTACCGTAGAACGTTGAAATACGGCCAAACTAGCAAATTTGGTTTCACTTGTTTCAGTGAGTTCAATCGCACCCCCCGCATTGCGCTTAGCTATTAGCAAAGAGCTATTAGGTATTGTCGGCCGCTGTTCATTGTATGCAATCTCTTCCTGCTTCTTTTCGATTGGAGTTTACATCACGTTGAGGTTCAATGTATGGGCCTGACGAGTAGTAGTGTAGGCTCTATCTTTATTAAATTTAAAAGATAAATGCGTGCGGTAACACGACGAAGATCGGAGCCGCATTGCTAAATTAAAAGGCAGCTAGTGGCTGGAGGTACGGCATACGTATCCTGATGGCGGATAGCGGCAGATTTCGAAATAATGCCTTGGGAAATAAATTCACGATTTGAGAGTTTTGATGAGCTAGAAAACACTCGAATTAGGTATGAAAATGGACATTATTGTAAACTTTACATCAGAAGATCGCAAATAATTGCCTCAGCCCTCAAACAAACGCCAAAAAAGGGCTTCAACGAACGACGGCTGCGGTACCTCCAGCTACTTCGAAATTAAAATGCCTCTAATTATACAGCATTGTAAATACACGTAAACGGTACTATCTCGTAAATTTACATGCGCAGTTCAAAACACGATCACTAGTTCTATCGGAAGGCAATTGGACTCGGAGAAAAATTGACGTTAACCAGAGATGAACGGTGTTAGATGGTGCAGATTGAGTAGATATAGTGGGACGAAGAACTCCTTGACAATTTACTATTGAACTGGATTTTACCTTATATGTTATCTCAGTCTTCGCATAGTGTCTCCACATGTGTGGCACTTTGACCCATTGTTTAACTATACGTCATTTACTTTATAATTTGCGTGTGTGAAGTGTGGGATATAATGTATCACCGAAGTACGAATAAGAAGAGAGCGAATAGATTAAAGGAAAAAATATTTACATTGTTGCCATTAATTATTGTCATGTTATCGGGTCTAATACAAAATTTCCAGCAGGCTTGCAACTTTTCCAGCAAGCGTAATGTGCAACAGATTGGTCCCCACATGACTGACTCTGTACCCACTCGTCTCGGTTGATGTTCGGGGTCTTGCGAATCCAGATGGCTTCCTTAATCCAACGCCTGACCACTACACCATCTGGTGGTCAAATCTGACAACGTCAGTCAGCTTTGAAAAATCCTCCTGTTAGGACTCGAAACGTGTTAGCAGTACGTTTGAACTTCACGGTTGAGTAGAACAAGTTCGGTTCAAGTTATCTCTACTCGCAAAATTTCCGCCTCCGGCGGCCATATTCGCTCGTTACGCTGATGAGGAGACCACGATGATTTCTCTAAATCCCGGCCCGATTCATAGTAATCTTTTAGTAAAATATTGACTTGAGACAAGGATCCTGTTACTAATATAAAATTTTCTGTCCCGGTATTTTCATTTCTATATAAAACACTTTGTACACACCTTCTAATCTATTGTTTTTCTCTTCAAATTAAGGCTGATATAATATACGGAACCCGCTAAATACGATAATTTTTCTTTGGCCCGTCAGTTTCGTACTAACGGGGTGCGACTGTAGTAACGAATAGTAGTCATTGAATGAGGAGTTTAGGCTTTGCAGTAATTGTATCTATTTGTGAACAATTTAACGCTACTAAAGTTCTTAATTATACATATAAACCTATATAAAATACCTTGTACACACCCGTACACACCTTGTAATCCATAATTTGTTCTTTGTTAATTTGGGGCTAAAATATGTTGAAGTGGTTAATACGAAACCCGCTTAATACAATTATTTTTCTTTGGCCCGTCAAGTTTTTAAAAATACTAACCGGGTTTGAGCTGTATAATGATCTTGGAAAAATGTAGGCAAAAACGCTTCGCAAGTAATGGATTTATATGCGCATCCCGCACGTATGCTAAGCGGAAGTTTTTATTGTTTTCGCGCCGTTTGTGTGTGTGTGTGTGTGTGTGTCGTGTGTGTGTGTGTGTGTGTGTGTGTGTGTGTGTGTGTGTGTGTGTGTGTGCGTGCGTTGCGTGTGTATGTGTGTGAGTGTGATGGTGTGTATGTGTGTGTGTGTGTGGGGGGGGGGGTGCGTGCTGCGTGCGTGGCGTGTGGCGGATGTGTGGTGTGTGTGTCTGTCTGTACTGCTCGACTATTTTGCATAACCGGTTAGAGGTAGAAACTTTCAAGCGCAGAGGCTGGACCTTAGAGGGCGGTGGAACCCCTATTTATTTTGAGTGCCTTTCACTCCAAGGTCAAGGGTCACTAGGTTCACATTTGATGAATGGATAGATAGATAGATAGGATAAGATAGATAGATAGGATAGATTAGATAAATAGATAGCATAGACTAAGATAGATAGATGAGATGGATAGATAGATAGATAGATAGATAGATAGATAGATAGATAAAAGATAGATAGATAAGAATGAAAGACTAGATAGATAGATAGATAGATAGATACGATAGATAGATAGATAGATAGATAGATAGATAGATAGATAGATAGATAGAATAGATAGATGATAGATAGATAGAATAGCCATAAGATAGATAAGTAGATAGATAGATAGGATAGATAGTATAGAGTAGACTAGATAGATAGATAGATTAGATAGATAGATAGATTTAGATAGATAGATAGATAGATAGATAGATAGAAAAATAGATAGATTGATAGATCGAATGAGAATAAGATAATCGCCTGAGTGCGAGCGTGCACGGGGGGAGAGCGCGTGGTGCCCTGGCGAAATCCACTCGCAAAGGTTACGTGATAGATACGTACGTCACAAGAGAGATAAGGACAAGCAAGACATGACACTGTTACTTCTTCTGATTTACACACAGAATATATTAAACAAACAAAATCCCAGTAATAGGCTATATATATAATTATTATACTATAAATATATATATAATTTTATACTAGTAAAATATATAAAGAATGGCGGCCAGCTTTGCTATTCTTTCAGGCTCGGCATACGTCAATGTCCTTGAGGGCAGGACCATCATGGCCGCCATAGTCCCTAACTGTTAGTGAACGCCGCGACAAAATAGCAAGTTCACTTTTCCGTAGCATCGCCCGGTTCCTCGCTGCTAGTGGTGAAAGCCGCTACCGAAGCAGCTGGCACATGCCATCTAACGCATAGGAAGCCATGCAATTGACAAGCGTGAGGCTACGAGAACCGGAGAGACGAGGAGAAACCACGGCGCGAGAAGATGGCGTGAAAGGTGCCTGCGCGTGAGAGCGTGCAGATCCTTGATCACGTCCGTTCCAGCTTATCGGGGTTGTAGAGACAGCTGTACTCTCATACCCTCCTGACCACAAGGCGACCAAGCTTGCTCCAGAGCTCGCTTTAGTATTGTCCGAGAATATTTGTGTCTGCGGAGGCATTTTGGTTATAGCCGAAGAAAACACTGCGGAAATATAAAAAAGCGGTCCTGGTTTAATTGAGATGTAAAGACCAGACGCGAAGGAGAGAACATGGAGCGAGATGCGAGCAGATTCGCGTATCTCATCTCACCAATCTCTCTATATAAATGCCTTAAAGATGACATTAAAACTAATGTTCGTTTCAATCTCGCAGACATTCACTGATGCTTATCCACAGAACAGCGAGAACGCGTGTTAGGTGAATATTAGGGGTGCATAATAAAATCGATCTGCCATTTTTACTCACACCTGTGGTAATAATAGTATCGGGTTTTTCACGGTAATCGAAACAGGTATATGTCTACCAGTCCCGTGACCTTGCCCCTTAAATCTTCCTGCTAACACTCGTCGGCTGACAACAATCGACATGAGCGGAGCGGGTAAACTGCGTTACAACCCTAGACGACATAGCAATTTACGAAATCACGCAATCACACGAACAAGGTCACGTTGGAACGCAATCCCCGATCCATCCCCCCTCACCGCCATAGCGCTGACCGTCCCCTCCATTCCTCTCCCCCCGTACGCTCACCTCCCCTCCCTCCCCTCTCCCGTACGCTCATCTCCCCTCCCCCCGTACGCTCATCTCTCCTCCCTCCCCTCCCCCGTACGCTCACCTTCCCGCCCTTCATCTTGAACTGCACGTAGGTGCGCTCGTCCTCGTACAGGCTTCCTTCCCACGGCACCACCTCGTTGTCTGTCGTCGTGATGTTATAGGAGACGCTTATAGTCACGCACGGGTACCGCAGCTGACGGTAACATCGATCAGGTGTCCTGCCCCTGCACCTGGCTGCACATGGGTACCTGTGTGTGCACCGGGAAGAATGTGGCGCCATCTGTGGTCGGACATGATAGTCATAACGCACTACACCGGGTAGTACCGAACCAACAATAATTTACACATTATTGACGACGATGTATATTAAAAGAAGAAAAGGAAGGGAAGTGACGACTATTACCTTGGAGAGGAGAAAGAGAGATGGTGACGATCACGGCATTGGGAAGAAGAAGGAGGATGATGAGGGCCAGTACCTTGAAGATAAGAAGGAGAAGCTGTGACGCTGATGACCATGATAGAAGGAAGCAAACGCAGCGATCGACATGACGACGACGACGACAACGTTGACGATTAATAATAATAATGATCACAACCTAACACGAACAAGACTCCGGATAGCACGTTAGCACTTACTCTCCGTCCAGCTGGCTCCGGATAACCGTACACTTCGTCTCCAGAAACTCGTCAGTTCTCAAATAAGGCTTAGCGAACCTGATCCAGAGAAGCGGAAAACCCACGACAACCATGAGGAATCCAGCCGCGCCCAAGAACCTGATGGCGAGGCCGACCAATCCGCCTGCAGATTTATCTTCAGGTGCGTCTTTAGCCGCCATCTTGAAAATTGCTATATCGTCTGCGGTATGCGGGTATCCGTGCCGTATAATGTTGACTGACGAGCGAAGGGATGTTCGGAGGGAGCTGAATTCATCGAAATGATTTAATTAACCGCTCATTATCAGTTTTAAATTATCACTAATTACTACCTTATAAACTTACCTAATAACTATTACTCATTGCTTTACCTTACCTCTACTCGCTGCTTTACCAGAGTTATATTCACCGCTTTACTTGACCAATATTCATTGCTTTACCAAAAAAATATTTCCTGCTTTACTTGACTAATATTCACTGCTGTACCTGACCAATATTCACTGCTGTACCTGGCCAATATTCCTTGCTTTACCTGACCAATATTCCCTGCTTTACCTGACTAATATTCACTGCTTTACCTAACCAATATTCCCTGCTTTACTTGACCAATATTTACTGCTTTACCTGAGCAATATTCACTGCTGTACCTGAGCAATATTCACTGCTTTACTTGACTTCTATTCAAAGTTTTATCTGAGAAACATTCACAGCTTTGACCAATCAGAGTTTAGTAACTACTATACTTGCGCGATCCCATTAAATCCTCACCGTGCTCACAATGTTAGCATGCCGTCGCATCACTATGATTTGATGCTACCGGAGCTCGATGTAGTTACAGGTCTCTTATTTAATAACTGAGAGCGGATGGGGAGTGTGCAAGCACCGGATCTCCTGCGTTAGTGGGACAGGTGCTCACGGGCTATCGTGGGTTGGTAGAACTAACAAAGATGGAACGACATTTAGTGGTGGCGTATAGGTGTTGTGCTAGCGGGTGAGAGAGAGAGAGAGAGAGAGAGAGAGAGAGAGAGAGAGAGAGAGAGAGAGAGAGAGAGAA